TGTGTGTGTGTGTGTGTGTGTGTTCGTGTATCAGCATCATGTTGTTGTAGTTGTCATTATTATCGTTATCATCATAGCATTATAAGAATTATTAATATCATTGATGATAATGATGATGATGAGGATGAGGATGATGATGGTTCGTGTGACTGATTACAACTGTGATATAAAAGCCATTATTGGTGAATATGGCTGTGAAGATGATTATGATGAGGAGGAGGCAGATGATAATTAGACCACTAATGATAATGACGATTGCCAGGCTGTTCCCTCTCACTCTCTGATTTGGATATAGTGCACTGTTGTTGTTGTTGTTTTTCTATACCACCATTAATGCTATAGGAATAGAGAATGTGATGCAGCAAGAAAGGTTGTGGAAAAAGCAGTCTCAGTTTTTTAATAGAGAAAATGAGAGGTGCATCAAGCTATTGCCGCTGTCATGTTTACATGAAGATAAAGTGCCAGTTACGTTATTGCTCTTTGCCCCACCCAGACGCCAAATGCGTGTGTGTGCACTTTCTCCTTCAATGTTTGCAGAGCTGGGGTGAGGAAACACACCTGTCCTGTATGAAAAAGCATGAATAAGCAGAACTGTACCCTCTGCACGCACGCACACACAAACACATGCGCACTCTCTTCATTACACACCTCTCCTTGAGCACACACAGGATGTAGCCTGAGGAATCGTAAGGCAAACGAAGGCTGATTTAAACAAATCTGATTACACTATGCAAGAAGAAAAAGAAAAACCCTCAGCTGTTGCAGTCCCTGCACAGAAAGATAACACCCCTATGCACACAGACGCACGCCCATGCACGCACACACACATATGCACACAACTTTATTTAACAGAGTAAACACCTGGTGGCTCTCTCAAGCGCCTCAGATCCGGATACACCAGCAGGAAAGCACACACATACATTTACACAGAGAAGAACGTATTCAGTTTGAATCTCTAAATATGGGAGTGAGGGAAGTGTTTCTATACTAACTGACCGTAATCACATTCTCAGCTTTGCTCAGATCAGTAAACCTTCCCAAAAACCTGTCAGCTATGAGGCCAGATCTGTCTCCAGAGTGAATCTGACAACACGACAAGAGAGTTTGAGCCACTAAACGCACTCAGCTGTCAGTTTGGGTCCCAACTGACAGCTGAGGCTAAGTGGAGAGTGTCGTGCGTGCTGTCATAGTGAACTGAAACTGTGATATAACTGTCTTTTTTATTTACTTTGTTACTTTTAACAGTTTCCACAAGGCTGTGGGTCCCAGATTCTGCTGGATTCGACTAAAACTTTCATCATTTATTCAAGTATGTATGTTTACCCAAAAGAAATACATGTATGCCTAAATGTCCTGTGGATATTTATAGATATTAAATACAAAATAAAAAAAATTAAAACAACCTGGTGAGGATGAGCAGATCACCTGAGCCAAAACATGAACTGTCTTTAAATAATTGATCATTTTAATTAGGTTAGTTCGGCTTGTGTATAATTAAAATAAGACATTTTGTTGTATTAAATTTTTTTATTTTAACATGTGCAAACAACCAGAGATGATGAAATGTTTTTTCATAAGTGTGCTGTGAAGAGCTCACCTGAATAATTAGTTTTCCATCTGGGCCAGTGTCCCAGAACACCATGACAAAGTAATACTGTGGTCAAATAAAATGTGTTTGGTGATATGCACTTTTTCCATGGCTCAAAGTGTCACTTCTGTGCTGATGAAGCCTCTGCATTGACTCCCCAAGACAAATATTCACAGTTACGATCAACTGCCATGTCTGCTATTTGCATAGATAACTAAGTTTACTCAAGTACTCTGTCAAAATAATATTCTTCTTCTACCTAACCAAAAACTAGTGCGCCTAAGTTAGCCTGACCCAAAATAGTGTCTTTAAACTGCAAATTTTGTCTCTGAAATCAAAGATATTAAACTGAGAAAAAGCAGAAAATCCTCAGCAGATTTGAATTCATAACTGAATCCATTGATTTGTTTTCTGCCTATTGATCAGCTAATTCTCCTGAGCAGTTCTATTGTCCATAACTCTGGTTGTACTTTTGTGCTCTTCTCCATGCGTTGTAAAGCAAATCTAATTCCGCAGTTGTTGATGCTGTTTATGCTCCACTACCCACTATGACATGCTAATGGATACAGACTTGATCATAGTTTCACAGGCGGAGGATTATGACGTGCCCCTGGAAAATGAAACCTAAGTGCTGCTCTCGCTGTAGGTAATTTCTTATATTGAGTATCAGGCATTTATTCACAACCCAATCACTACACACATTTATATATAGACTACATCAGAGAGTCTAACACGGGATTTGCTCACTACACAATGATCATGAAAATGATTCTACACTCCCACTGTTACCATTAGATTGGGACCATTTTTTTCCACCCCATTTGTTTTAATGTTTACACAGTGACAACGTGCAGGACAGACAGCACACTATCACTGTGTTACTGTATCTGGTGTTACTGGTTGGGAGAAGCCTCAGCAGCTACAATGGTGCGATGCAGCAAAGAGCAGTGGATCAAGCATGTCAGCAGTTTGGATCATATGGGAATTTAGAAAGAGTTCTTCTCTGCCAATTTGATTATACAGCAGGGTTTTATCTCTCCCCTTTCCCTGTGAGTTTGTGCAGAGCTCCACACAACCATGCCCTCAATATGTTTCCTCAAAATATTTGTTACAGGTCTCAATAGAAAAGCTCTAGTTTAAGTAGGGCTGGGGGATAATACAATACAATAATGCTTATACAAGCACAGTCAGTAACAGAGGCAGATCTAGGTTTTTTTCTCAAATCAGGGACCATAAAGAGGCCCCAATTTACACAAAGGGGACAATTATATGTCCAACACCCATGCACACCTCCAGACTCAGTGATGCACATTGCTAGTTTACTGTGAGCTCTGTAGCTTTCATCATTGTATATATTTTGAAAACTGTTCAAACACATTGGGTCTTTAACAGATCTTAATATATCGACAGATTGATTGTTAGTATTGTCAGTAAGTGACAATTTTATTTTAAAAACAAAAGACTACTGAGAGGACAGAGGCACTTCAGGGGCCAATCAGATTTCCCCCCCTGGCCCCGCCCCTGGTGGGGAGGTATGTGACACATCTGTGATCTGCCTCAGAATTTTTGCTGTTTGTCAAGTGTTTGTCATTCTTCGTTCATAAATAGTTAAAAAGCGCAACCTTCACTCAACAGCAAAAGACATTCTTTAAACTTTAAAGAAATAATAATGTGATATTTCTGATAAATGTCACATTATTATCCTCATAATTATCGATAGTGATATCTGTATAAAAGATGAAAATAACCATAATAATCATGAAAGCATGAAAAGTAGGGACATTGCTAGACATAACATATTGATTATCCACATGGGTAATTATCAGGATCACTTATGTAACGTGATGACAATCATTATATCGTTATCATGATTATATCGCTAATCGTCACGTGACATCATTTATCATGATAATTATCGATATCGCCCGATATGAAAATGTTAATCTTAATAAACTTTTTGTCCATATCATCCATCTGTAAGATTGAGTATACAAAGTGGCATTTCTTTTATATATACGAACTTGCACAATATCCCTCTGGATTCACAGTAGGACATATTTCATACCTGTGGACTTTAAACTGGTCTCACCTTAATTTTGTGGACGGACTTCCCTTCCTCCAGACCCTCGGTCCACACAGTGATGCCCCCCTTGTTGAAGCTCATGCTCCAGCGCTCCTCGCACAGACACTCGGCCTTGAAGCTGGCGAACGCCCGGTCGTCCGGGATGGTCACGGTGTGTCCAGACATGGCTCGTTACCGGGAGACGGAGAGGAGACTCCTGGTGGGGCCCGGCTGGAGACACGGAAGCAAAGTAGAGCCGATGGCCGGCCCCTCCTGTCCTGCCCGGTCCTCCTCTTCTGTTGGGAATAACTTGTCTAATTCAATTTCCTCCCTGGGAGCAGCTTGGTGGGCTGTCTTGTGATGATCCGTGAGTTCGAGTGGCGCGATCAGGGAGGTATAACCGCAATCCAGACCCCGCAGGAGAACCGCTGAACACCGGGAGAGAGCGGAGCCGCAGGCGGGGAAGAAGTGATGGATCAAAAGACGATTTAAAATGTGTGGTAGTTGATGAAATAAGTTTGAGTTGAGCAGTCCTCACTAACAGCCGCTCCTCTCACTAACCATATGTTCCTCTCTCTCTTTCCCTCTTTTCCCCTCTCTCTCTCTCTCTCTCCCTCTCTCTCTCTCTCTGTCTCTCTGTCTCTCTCTCTCTCTGATGCAGTCTTGTAATCATTTGCAGCGTCTCTCCATCGCTGCGTCCCTCGCCGTGGCAGGTGGTGGAGGAGGAGGAGAAGGAGGAGATGCGGTGAGCAGTAAGAGGAGGAAGAGGGGGAGGAGGAGGAGGAGGAAACCGGCTGAGCAGACAGGAGAGACGCAGAGATGGAAACGCCCCCCTCCTCCCCCAACCCCCCCACCAACCGTGCTACCTTTACGTGCTCCTCGTAAAGCTCGGGGGGTCTGCTGCCTCAGGGACCATTTGTTCGGTTGACTTCTTTTGATTGGAAATGAGGCACGGGGGTTTCACGATACACTATGACACGCCTAAATGCTACGTTATGATACAATACGATACAATAGGTGCCAGCTACATGTTTGTGGCAAGCAATGTCCCCACCTTTCACACTTGTCATGCATTTGTCATTTGTGTATCTCTCGTTCTATCTTTAACACAGAGATCAACCTATGAGTCTGAACTAAAGCTGAACCATATGAACTATAACTGTAACAATGAAACAATGTGAAAGAATCCAACATGCTACGATGCGATATGACTCAATATGATACGATTCAATATATGATGAGACAATACCTTTCATGCTTTCAGGCATACGAACAGATACGGCCCCCCTACTGATATGATACAGTACGGTGTGATACAATATGTGCAAGCTACATGTTTGTGGCTAGCAATGTCCCCCCACCTTTCAGCCTGTGCGGAGGAATTTTTTGTACGATTTACGTTTGGATCAACTGGCACTTACTTGCTGCTGTTCATTTTGGGACACCCCCAACTTTATCTTTAAATTAAATTAATTAACAATAACATGCTCAAATTTGGAAACTTCTTGAATGTCAAAAATGGCCCTACCAGATGGAAGCAGAAAATATTTCATTTATATTTTTTTTATAAGATTTGTTTGTGTAAAAGTAGGGTATCCCTCAGTTTCCTACAGGATTTGAACGCATCACACCATGCAGACAAACCTGTCAGTAAAGTAGTTAGTTCACGGAGCAGCGGGGGCGCGCCTGGCTGCAGTTGGCTGACGTGTAAAGTC